TCAGGTATGCTTTACCTGTTCCATTTTTTTTTAACCCAATCAGGAAGCTGATAAGCGAAACAGCCTTTTCCTACTCTTATCATGCCGAATTTTATTGTCAAGATAGTATTTAGGAGGTCAAATTTCATCCTGTTTCTTAGGTTAGGTTTGATAAATTCACTCCAAATGAAAAACTTCTAGAAAGTCATCTACCATCTAAAAGTCAAAACCGCCATCTAAATGCAAGGAAAACATCTAAATCTGGATGTAAAACATTCAAAGTGGCAACACTGCTAGCATCCTGAGTGCAGAGTTGCTTGCATCACTTGATAAGACTCAGAACAGAAGCATAGCATGAATGTTTTGCTCAGGAGATTCAGGTGTGCGAAGTAACGAGCAGGCTGATAGATTAGCTGCTGTCGCTCCCCTGAGCGCTGAGTTACTTTATGATAAAGACAGCGTGGTGCGGCTTTCTGGGATCAAATGGACAGTGTAATAGAAGAGACAGGGAACCCAAATACTGAAAAAATAATTCAATGGGAGGACAGTAGAGATTTTTGTAGAAATTCAACACTAAAGGGGAAACATAGGCGAACCTTTACTCGTGTTGCAGATGGTACTATTCGGATATCGGCTCTTCGTTGGCTACTGAAGAGGGGTAAAGGTAAAGACGAGAGATGTGAACCAGCGTCATTGCACACGGATATAAACCATAAAAACTCTGCCACCAGTACGGACAGCTGATAAGAAACTGTCTGCCTGTGTCGCCGTCTGAACGAAGCTTCCCTAGCTACAGCGACGTTCCTCCATTTACCGTAGAGTGGTAACTCTGGAGTAGTGTATAAGTCGTTTTGAGGTATCATTTCGATTAACCCGCCTTCTTTATCCTTAGTAAAAGATGGCGGCCAAAAGTGATTGGTTCTTTCTGGCGGGTTTATATATCCTTAGTAAATATCGATCGGGGCACCCGCCCTCTTTGTCCTTAGTAAATATCGATCGGGCGGTTGGTGATGGTAAAAGTGATTGGTTTTAGGGAAAGATATAGGAAATCTTCATAACTGCAGGTGACAGGTGGCGTTATATAAAACGGGGGCAGGCAGGAACACTATTTAGGTGAGCAGCGGGGGGGGGGGGCAGGGGACCCGGGGCGACTAATAGAGTTGGTGCGGGTTTATGTGGATGTCTGTATAGGTGATTGTATGAGGGGAGCCGTTTTTAGACTTGCGATAAAGAAAACCTAGGAAGGCGACGTGGTGACCGGGGATATATTAGAAAGGGCAGTTTGGGCGCCGGCATCATCATCATCTGTATCATGGGAGCGAAGGTCGACCGCTCATGGATGGTTTGAGCTGTAGTAAAAAAGGACGACAGAATGCT